CGATCAAACAAATATCAGCTGAAAAATCTTGAAACTCAAGACTGGTGGATGATGTTCGTTCTGGTGTAATGTCGAAGTCTCCGCCCACTCTTTAAAAACAAAATTTCTTTAATTTAGTTTCCTTAATCTAATAAATTTTGTGCTGACACTAACCCAGTATCATACATGCTGTGTGGAAATGCATTTAAGGCTTCAAGATTTTCCATATCAGTTAAAAAATTTCGATTTTCAATGATGTTGGCAAATGTTTGTTCTGATTCGTTAAAAAAATTATCGTCGATGTATTCTTCAAAAAGGTTTTCATCTTCTGATGTATCATTGATGTCTTGAGTTGTTCTTTCGAGAGAAAATATTTAAATTCATATTGAATCAATTAGGTATTACAAATCGTACCTTGCACTAGGGATCATCGTAGATTCATCGAAGTTATTAAGAAGTGCATTTATGCATTCATTGAGAGCGTCTAGGGAAGCTTCGAATTTTGAGTCATTAGCAGACATTCTTGATCCTGAAGCATCACAAAAGCCTTCCGGCATTGAGATGTCAGCAATCATCGTATCTGAAATAAGAATTATTTTTGAATTTAGTTGAACAATTGCAATCCCATAAAATTTATAAACCATCTGAAAAATTCATCTTTGATTGACGAATCAGAATTTTTTTTCGAGTCTTCTTTAATTAAGATTTTTCACTAAAATTTATTTGCACGTTTTATAATTTGGATAACATCAAAATTGATTCATAATTTGTAGAGAACTAAATTAAATTGATAGATTACTGCGATGATGATTTAAAATGAATGAAGATTTTAATTAGATAAAGATTAATGTGTTAAACACTTAAAATAAATATCCAAAGTTTTATTACATTTTAACATATCTNGGATTAAAATTGAAAGCACCTTGCCATTTAAATGAACGAAAGGAACATTAATTTTCTTTAGAAGATCCGCCACAAGTGGATTTAGTGAATCAGAGTCTTCTATTAATAGCCATAACAAATTTGGAACATGCTTCAACGTGTACCCTAATCCAGTTAAATCAGCCAACTGATCTTGTCGTCTGTAGGTGGGTGTTATGACGTATACTTGTGGAAGGACTTCCTTCATAATTAAAAGAAAATGCATGAATGGAAATTAAATATAATGTAGGATAAAACCTTTTTGACTAAAGTCGCATAGAAAAATGAAGTGTCTCCAAAGAAATAAATCAAACTCCATAAAAATCCAATCAAAAAGCCAAAAACGAAACTCATTCCGAATTTTTGAGATGGTTGAGTTGAAACTTTCATTTTCTCTAAATTTTAAAAAATTTAATCTGACTTCTAAATAAAATTTTGTATCCCAGTTTTTCACTTGTAATCTTCTTAATGAGTGCATTAAAACTGAAATAAGTAAAACTTTTATAAGCAAGAATTGTCGACGTTTGAACTTTTTCTTAACTTCTCTCACACAAACTTTTTGCAATGATGATTATTGTGGTTGAGAATACATATGGCTTATCCCAGCGTTGCTCGTATGACGGTCACAAAATTCAAAGCTGGATATAATATGTTTGGCTTGAGATTTTTCTGAAACCTCT